ATTCTTGATTGGTTAAAATGATTTTGCAGGTGTTTATAGATTTGATAGAGAAGTAATAGCAGTTTTATTTCATTTTCCTTTTGTTTCAAGTATCCTTTATATTCCTAAATATATTTCCTGGCCGATTTGTTTCTATGTACTGTGCTATCATCACGTCACCTAAGTCTAAGTCTATGGACTATGGCAGGATTCTCTTGGTGGCAACAGCAGAACAGTCATGATAGGTAATCTTTATATGTTTGCATATGGAATGTTGTTACTAAAGTATTATTCATAAATATCGAGAGTATACTTAATCAAAATCATGTTCAAACACATTTTTCTTTTGCAGCCTGCATTAGTCCTGCTGATATAAATGCTGAAGAAACTCTCAACACTCTAAAATATGCCAATCGTGCTCGGAATATACAGAATAAGCCCGTGGTAAATTATTTTAGTTGCTTCTCGCTCACCTCCCTCTGGCTGCAATTTGACATTCTTACCATATGGATAGAGATCTTTTGCTTCTGAAAGTTGTCATATTAAATTTGCTCTGGGTATACTGATCAGATTAACAGAGATCCAATGTCCAATGAAATGCTTAAGATGCGCCAACAACTAGAGTATTTGCAAGCAGAACTTTGTATCCGTGCAGGAGGAGTTTCATCACACGAAGTACAGGTATAATCAATTTCTTTAGTATGGTAAACTCCTTGAGGTGGAAAATGTGAATTTCTACATTTTCGTTGACTGAAATTTTCTACTTGCATAACAATTTTCACAAAGATATCGTTCCTATTCCTCTCTATGGTTTGCGAATAATCCTACTGGCTTGTTTGGTATGTTGGATTTAATGGTGTTGAATAGTATTTAAAAGAAACGGAAGTTAAAATCGTGTCTAGTAATGCATACCAAACTTACTTTAGACCTCTTAACTAGAGATATTTTGTGCAGGTTCTTAAGGATAGGATTGCTTGGCTAGAGGCTACTAATGAGGAGTTGTGTCGGGAACTTAATGAATACCGCAACAACAGGAGTGGTATCGAGCAATGTGATGCTGATGCGAATGTATGCCATACATCGTTGATATAAATTACTTAGCTTTTAATTATCTTTAACAGACGTCTGCTTCTCATATTTGATATTTCAATCATTTTGATCGTCGCTAGCTGA